TATGAACTAGAGAAGCTGGATGTCCTGGCTTTAAGTGAAACAAAGCTGAATGGGGTGGGAGAGTTTCAGTGGAGAGGAATAAATGGGATTAGGTCAGGGGTTTCAAATAGAGTTAGAGCTAAAGAAGGAGTAGCAATAATGTTGAAGGATAAGATATGGCAGGAAAAGAGGGACTATAAATGTATTAATTCAAGGATTATGTGGAGTAAAATAAAGGTTGGATGTGAAAAGTGGGTTATAGTAAGTGTATATGCACCTGGAGAAGAGAGAAGTGTAGAGGAGAGAGAGAGATTTTGGGAAATGTTGAGTGAATGCGTGGGGAGTTTTGAACCAAGTGTGAGAGTACTTGTGGTTGGGGATTTCAATGCTAAAGTGGGTAAAAATGTTGTGGAGGGAGTAGTAGGTAAATTTGGGGTGCCAGGGTAAATGTAAATGGGGAGCCTTTAATTGAGCTATGTGTAGAAAGAGATTTGGTAATAAGTAATACGTATTTTATGAAAAAGAGGATAAATAAATATACAAGGTATGATGTAGCACGTAATGAAAGTAGTTTGTTAGATTATGTATTGGTGGATAAAAGGTTAATGGGTAGGCTCCAGGATGTACATGTTTATAGAGGGGCAACTGATATGTCGGATCATTATTTAGTTGTAGCTACAGTTAGAGTAAGAGGTAGATGGGACAAGTAGGAAAGTGGCAACAACAAGTAGGAGGGAAGTGAAAGTGTATAAACAAAGAGAGGAGGAAGTTCGGGTGAGATATAAGCGACTATTGGCAGAAAGGTGGGCTAGTGCAAAGATGAGTACTGGGGGGGTTGAAAAGGGTTGGATGAGTTTTAAAAATGCAGTATTAGAATGTGGGGCAGAAGTTTGTGGGTATAGGAGGGTGGGGGCAGGAGGAAAGAGGAGTGATTGGTGGAATGATGAAGTAAAGGGTGTGATAAAAGAGAAAAAGTTAGCTTATGAGAGGTTTTTACAAAGCAGAAGTGTTATAAGAAGAGCAGAGTATATGGAGAGTAAAAGAAAGGTGAAGAGAGTGGTGCGAGAGTGCAAAAGGAGAGCAGATGATAGAGTGGGAGAGGCACTGTCAAGAAATTTTAATGAAAATAAGAAAAAATTTTGGAGTGAGCTAAACAAGTTAAGATAGCCTAGGGAACGTATGAATTTGTCAGTTAAAAACAGAGTAGGGGAGTTAGTAGATGGGGAGAGGGAGGTATTAGGTAGATGGCGAGAATATTTTGAGGAACTTTTAAATGTTGAGGAAGAAAGGGAGGCGGTAATTTCATGCACTGGCCAGGGAGGTATACCATCTTTTAGAAGTGAAGAAGAACAGAATGTAAGTGTGGGGGAGGTACGTGAGGCATTACGCAGAATGAAAGGGGGTAAAGCAGCTGGAACTGATGGGATCATGACAGAAATGTTAAAAGCAGGGGGGGATATAGTGTTGGAGTGGTTGGTACTTTTGTTTAATAAATGTATGAAAGAGGGGAAGGTACCTAGGGATTGGCAGAGAGCATGTATAGTCCCTTTATATAAAGGGAAGGGGGACAAAAGAGATTGTAAAAATTATAGAGGAATAAGTTTATTGAGTATACCAGGAAAAGCGTACGGTAGGGTTATTATTGAAAGAATTAGAGGTAAGACAGAATGTAGGATTGTGGATGAGCAAGGAGGTTTCAGAGTGGGTAGGGGATGTGTAGATCAAGTATTTACGTTGAAGCATATAAGTGACCAGTATTTAGATAAAGGTAGGGAAGTTTTTATTGCATTTATGGATTTAGAAAAGAGTGGATAGGGGAGCAATGTGGCAGATGTTGCAAGTATATGGAATAGGTGGTAAGTTACTAAATGCTGTAAAGAGTTTTTATGAGGATAGTGAGGCTCAGGTTAGGGTGTGTAGAAGAGAGGGAGATTACTTCCCGGTAAAAGTAGGTCTTAGACAGGGATGTGTAATGTCACCATGGTTGTTTAATATATTTATAGATGGGGTTGTAAAAGAAGTAAATGCTAGGGTGTTCGGGAGAGGGGTGGAATTAAATTATGAGGAGTCAAATACAAAATGGGAATTGACACAGTTACTTTTTGTTGATGATACTGTGCTTATGGGAGATTCTAAAGAAAAAATGCAAAGGTTAGTGGATGAGTTTGGGAATGTGTGTAAAGGTAGAAAGTTGAAAGCGAACATAGAAAAGAGTAAAGTGATGAGGGTATCAAATGATTTAGATAAAGAAAAATTGGATATCAAATTGGGGAGGAGGAGTATGGAAGAAGTGAATGTTTTCAGATATATATATATATATATATATATATATATATATATATATTATATATATATATATAATATATATATATATATATATAATATATATATATTATATATATATTATATATGCAATAAGATCACAGTAAACAGGTGATTTCAAAATATGCAAAACAACCACTCTGAAAGAATAGAGAAATTCCAAGCGCTTTCGTCACTACTCACATTATCAAGGAACTATGAAAGTATAGCATCCAAGGAAGCTATATAAGGGGTCGGCCAGCACCTCACTATCAGATCCCACAACGGTTTAAACACCTGACGCGCGCCGACCCAACTTGGATAGGTCCTTGGCACAACTCACCCCACAAACTATTCTACCCAAGAAATAAGAAATTTTAACGATTATTTGTCCAGTGTATTATTAAATTCTTCCCAAATTCTATTAATTATAAATGGATCTAATTTATATAAACCAAAGGAAATATTCATATTATTGTCAAAACTGCTTTTTATGAAACAAGATTCAATTATATTCCTGTCGACCATGGACTTGCTTGATACTACTTTCTCAACTTTTTGAAAATCAATTGGATGGTTAAAATCTCTTACATGAATAAATAGAGCATTGGAATCTTGTCCAGTTCTAATGCTATATTTATGTTGTTTTAATCTTAGTTCGAGATTTTACCAGTTTGACCGTAATAAACTTTATCGCAAATTTTACAAGGAATCTTATAGACACATCCATCAGCATTTTGGGGGGAATTCTTTATCAAAAGTTTTTTTACTGTATCAAGATTTTGAATACAACTTTAATATTAAAAGTCTTAAGAAGAGAAGGCAATCAACCAAGTTTTCATGGTAAGGAGAACCAACATATTTTTATTTGAATAAGGCTGGTTGTCCCTTTTTGGATTGTAAAAAGTATTTCTAGCAACTTTAAAAGATTTATCAATTACATTTCTTGGGTATTTTAAATCATTACCTATTTCATAAATTTTGGATATTTCCTCATCTATGAACTCAGGACTACAAATTCGTAAAGCTCTCAAAAACATTGATGAGAAAACAGACAGTTTGACTCTATTTGATGCGGGGAATAATAGTGGACATAGGAAAACAGTTATTGTAGGTTTTCTGTAAATTTTAAATTTGAATTCATTATTACCCTTAATAATTAAAACATCTAGAAAAGGCAATGAGTTATTTTCTTCAAACTCAACAGTAAAGTTTATAGAATGGGCTAAGCTAATTTAATTTTCCTAGGAAATGGTGTATATCTACATTTTTGGGCATAAGACACAAAATATCATCAACATATCTGAACCATTTAGCTCTATTAGGGAGGATTGTGTTAAGTAACCTTGTTTCAAAAAATTCCATGTATAGGTTACTAAGAACAGGTGAAAGAGGATTTCCCATTGCCATACCAAACTTCTGAGTGTAAAACTTATCATTAAATACAAATTTGCATCAACAATGCAAAGTTTAATAAGTTTAATGATAGTAGAAACTGGCAATGGTAAATCATAGTTAACGAGTTCTTCAGATAAGAAACTTAATAAATCATCAACAGGAACTTTCGTAAACAAGGAAGTAACATCAAAACTAACCATGTTAAAATCATTAAGTCAGTCAAGGAGCTTAATTTATCAACCAAGTCTATGTTGTTTTTAACATTAAAGTTAGAAATTTTGCCAACAATAGGGCTCAAAATATCAACAAGCCATTTGGATAATTTATATGAAACTGACCTATGGAGCTAATAATTGGTCTGACTGGATTCCCTGGTTTGTGTGTTTTTATTAGTCCATACATGTAAGGTAAAGATGGATTAGTGGAAGTAAATTGTTTGACTAATTCATCTTTGCCTTTCAGTAGAAGTTTTATTGTTTTATTGAAATTGCTGTTAACGGTTTCTAGGGGATTTTTCCTAAGTTTTTGAATAGGTTTCAGTATCATCTAAGAGATTATTCATTTTTTCTTGGTAATCATTTTCTTTCATAATTACTATTGCATTTATTTTGTCTGCTTTAGTAAGGCGCAAATTTTTATTGTTATTAAGTGTATCATAAGACTTAAAGAATCTTTGAGGGCAATTGGGAATGTTTGGTTTTAACATAGAGCTATATACCATTCCTTTACTAATATTAATTTCATCAGAGGATAAATCAGAAAATTTTTCAAAGTTACAAAAGGCTTTTGCAATTTCAACATTTTCTTTCAGATTGGTTGTTTTGCATATTCTGAAATCACCTGTTTACTAATTTACTAATTTATGGCAAAACAAAATTTTCATTTGGTAATTCTGCAAAATACACCCTATGTCAAATATTCCAAACTCGGCGATTCGGCTTAATCGACACGACATATATGCGTACATACGTACATACATCCATGCATATAATATGGGCATTGGTTTGACAAAGTCACTGGTAGGCGAAACGTTGTTGCTCTTATAATCGTCTCATTAACTTACTTATATGTTCATTTAACTAATTAGGTTTCCTGAAATTCTCTTTATTAAATTATGTTCTTACACTTGGTTAAGACACCCTTTGGTCATAGATCTCTCGTGCTGAGGGCTTGAAATTTCCTCTGGTTAAAAAACTTCATATCGTATAATGTGAGCAACTTGTGTACAGTGGTAATAATGCAGGGGACCTGGTACTGTAAACAATACAAATTGTTTTGGCAGCCAAGTCACTTCACATATTAAAAGATGTCCTTTCTTTCAGGTCGGTGATTTTCTACGACAAGTAAGTGAGTCTGTGTGGAGAGCAGACTTCTGGCTCCCGTCTGGTCTCACTTGGCAGGATCTTCAGAGCACTGACAACCTTCAGTTCCCCGAGTTCAGTGATGTTTGGATTTATCCGCTACTATTTAGCTTAGTCTTTCTGTTTTTTCAATATAATTTTCTGGAACCATTGGTGCTTGCTCCTCTGGCGAAGGCAGTGGGTATTAGTAACTTCCGGCCTCCTCCTCCTCCGCCGAACTCTTCCATGGCGATCATTTTCCACCGATATGGGAGGAAAGTGCCCGAGGCAGTGCTGGTGGAGGCGTCGCGTGAATCCAAGCTGTCAGTGCGGCAGGCGGAGAGGTGGATTCGTGCTTGCTATAAAGCAACACGTGTAAATAAACATGACTTGTTCTTGAGCGCTGGTGTAAATGTCATCTCTCACACCATCTTCTTCATCGGTGGATGGTTGATCATGTATTTTAAACCTTGGGTGTGGAATATTACACTGTGCTGGCAAAACTACCCTTATCACAACGTGGATGCTGACGTCTGGTGGTACTATATGACAGTACTGACTTTTTTCTGGGCTTCCACAATCTCAGATATTGGCCAGCCTCGCAGAATTTCGGAAGGTAAACTGAAGATAATTGTTCACCACGTGTTAACAGTAATACTTATGACTTTTTCTTGGGTCTGCAACTTCACTCGCATTGGGACATTGGTGCTGCTGGTGCACGAGTGTGCCGACATTCCTCTGCTCTTGGCGAAAATGTGCATATACGCAAAAAAGCAAACGGCTTCCAACATTTTCTTCGTGGTGTTCTTGGTGCTGTGGCTCGCGACTCGCTGCGTGATGTACCCATTCTGGGTGATGCGCAGTGTGTTCTTCGAGGCCACCACCTATATGTTCATGCCGTCAGCCTACATATTCTTCTTTCTCTTAACCGCTGTCTTAGTACTCAACCTAATGTGGACACTGCTAATCTTCCGCACACTGATACGACTCTTACAGAAGAAAGGTCCTCTAAAAGAAGAAAAGTCATCAACGGAAAGTGAAGATGAAGTCGAAGAAACGAAGAAAGAAGAATGAGGCAGACACATTAAATTAAATATTTATTATTTTCAGTTTTCAAAAGTATTACACACATTTTAGTGTCCCACAAAGAACTCCAACGTAATTTACAACTCACATGGCTCATACATTCATTTCTTGTCCACATTATATGTTCTTATTTTTGCTAAAATAATTTTGAGTAACACTGTTAACCTTTATCAAAACTGATCCATTTGTGAAGGTTGATGTATAAATGCATGATGAACAGCATTATTATTATTATTATTATTATTATTATTATTATTATTATTATTATTATTATTTATTATTATTATTATTATTATTATAGTCAAGCGCTATACCCGAAAGGTCATGCAGCAGTAAGTAAGGGTAGGATGAATTAGCCACCTGAAATTTGATGCGAGGGGCGAGCTAGGCTCCCATGTCTGATGTGTCAGACATGTCCTCATGTCATGGCTTGTTTGTTGTTGCTGGGAGTGGTAGTTACCTTGAGTGTTGTTCCGTACAGGATGGTTATGCGGAATATAATAAAAGTATCAAATTCAGTGACTCTCAGGCTCACCCTGGAACAGGTCATTCACTCAACTGTCACAGACAAACTTCCAATAATTACGTCCATCATGTATGAAATACTCTGCATAGCATGGGCTTTCAAATTATTATTATTATTATTATTATTATTATTATTATTATTATTATTATACATTACCACAATGAGGCACCGTTATCAGTTGACTGTTAGAGGTATCTTTCAGTATCATGTCACAGGTTATCAGTTGACTGTTAGAGGTATCTTTCAGTATCATGTCACAGGTTATCCACGATGTTGTCATTCATATGACCTGAAAGGGATGTCGTAATTCTGGTAAAGGGTTTTTGATCCAAGGAAGTTGAGCTAACCCTCTCTTTCCTTGAATCAAACCTGATTATTTCCCATTACCTAGGTCCTGTATAACTCTCCTACGGTTTTAGTGCTTCCGCATGATTATAATGGTCATCCAAACAACTTCATTGGTATAAAGACAAAGACACAAGTTGCAGAACATGACAAAAACACTACACGGAGCACTAAATCCGTAAGGGGGGCACAGCCCCTGGGTAGGGAGTCTGTTTTGATCCAGGGAAGGGGATGTTAGGTCAGGTCGCCACCCAATAAGGGAAAATGTAGGCAAGTTGATCATGTACATAAAAAAAAAAAGAATTGTTACACTGAAATATATGTTAACTCTCTTTGCTTAATTAAAATTAACACGCTTCTAAACTTGAAATTATTTCTTATCTTTTCACTCTTCAATGTGGCATTTACTAAATAAGTGAAATACATTCATACATACATATATATATTATATATATATATATATATATATTATATATATATATATATATATATATATATATATATATATATATATATATATTATTATATATATATATATATATATATATTATATATATATATATATATATATATATATATATATAATTTATTCTCTAACCTCTGTCTACAAAAATAAGGATGATAAGACACAGTGCAAGTTAAGGTATTTTATTAGTCAATAGTTTTCGTTCACCAATAATTTTTTAATCGCTAAAGTCCCTAACTAGAACGAAAGATCTCGGCAACGCAGCCTTCACTGTATCTCATCTCCATACATGAATAACGATTGCCTTTGATCTCGGTCTCTTTGTTTATCTTCCTATGCTTTGCTAATCATATGTCACTCTTACAGCTATGTTGATTTTTATTTTAATGAAGGTAATGATTATTGCTATGAGAACTAGCTGGTGTTTCCCTTCACAGCGTAGTTGCTGGTTCCTATGATGTTATGTCAACTTACCTCCACAATGTGTACATTGAAAGTTTTTTTCTTTTGCCTTTGTAATAAACAACGATTTTTTTAAATATTGAATTTTTATTTTATTTAATTTCCTACTCGTCTTTATATGTTTTAAAAGTATGAACATAAGCATAAATCTATGAGCAAAGAGAGAAGAAGATGAGAGGTAACGAGATTGATTTATGATGAATGAAAGAAGGAAAAGGTGATTGGAGAGATGAAAACTGAGTAAAATCAATGTGTTTCTTTAGACTAGAACATATATAGAAAGTATAAATGGACGTTACAAATTTTCTTTGCCGAGATAAGAATTGAGAAATGAAAAATCCTACGTGAGACTATCCTGAAATGTCGACATGATCTGATAAAGATCACTCAGAAGAGAATGAAAATATGTGAGAAAGGGAGGACCTAAATGAAGAAGGTAAGAAGGAGAAGACGTAGCTCGATCGCTAGCATACTCTGCTCACACACTAAGGTCCAGGGATCTAATGCCCGATACGGCTGGGAAACATTAGGACGTATTTCCATAAGACACCTGCCTGCTGTTCCTGTTCACCTATCAGTAAAATGAGTATGTGGGTGTTAGTCGACTGGTGTGGCTTGCATCCTGATACCAAGTTGACCTAATTTGCCCGAAATGTTCTGCATAACCAGGGGCATTTTGTATAGTAGTATGTCATTGATGTCAGCTAGGCCTTTATACCTTGTACATGTGCTTGTAGAAATGAAGATATTATTATTATTATGACATATTATTATTAGTATTATTACTGAAGGAGGAGATGAGAAGGGGAGGACCTTACTGAAGGAGGTGAGAAAGGGAATATACCCTACTGAAGGAAGTGAATAGGATAGGACCTTACTGAAGGAGGTGACAAGAGGAGGACCTTTCTGAAGAAAGAGGTAAGGAGGAGAGGACACTACTGAAGGAAGGAGGGAAGGACTACTGAAGGAGGTGAGGACGGAAGCACTCTACTGATAGAGGTAAGGATTATACTGAAAGATGAGGTTAGGAGGGAAGAACCCATATTCTCCACTGGTTTCTTCCCACAGCCTATCCTCTTAATAAGTCAGTATTTCACTGTTGCTAAGAAGGCCAAATAGATAACCTATACAAAATTATTAAACAGTAATTATTCGACTGTTTTTTGTTTTGGGTGAGGAGGCAAGAGAGGACCTTCAGTACCTAGAACAGTCAGGCCTCAACCTGACCATATCTTATGTAGTTCGTGATGTATTTATATGTGTCTGTTTTTTTCTTGGCTGCCATGTTTGTGACATTTTTATTTCAAGATAAACAAGTTTCAGAACAATTTCTTATTCAGACATTTCGCTCCACGTAGTTTTATCATGACTCAATTAAGCTCTACACAGAGCTTAAGTTTGTTCTATAATTTTGGTCTCTGTCTTCATACTTATCGGCAGTGCTCTGTTTCATCTGGTTTGTTTCATATATTTCAGTCCTCTGCTTGGTGAAGAGTTCAATATTATGCTTCATTTACATATTATCTATTTTACGTGTATGTGAATTAGTCTGTAGAAGACTTTCAAATACAACAAACAAATTGGTTATTCGGAATAAAAAAGAACACCAATATAAAAATTTAATAAATAAAATAAATACACAATTGAAAACTATATATAAAAGGGAAAGAAAAAAGAGACGGGGTCGAGGGTTAGAGGCGCACAGTAACACCAAGTAGTGAAGGAGAGGGTTATTCATTTTTTTTTTTTTACAAAATTTGATACATCAGTATATAACAATATAATAGTACATACAAGTGTTGAAATTTGTCGGCCTAAGGGAAAAAGACTTCAGTAGAGCAATGATAGCATCAAGTATCGTATAAAGGTTCAGCGGCTACTAGAGCTTTAAAGACTCACGAAATCGTAACAACACGATAGAAAACAAACCACGTAACAGGTGGGGTATGAAGGCACTGCCCTGAAGTCTTAGGACTCACTCGCCATTGGTTCAGACCCCATCCGTTCTGTGGTTTGAGCTTCAAAGGTTTCGTTCCAGCAGAGTTGGAGTTACTTGTACATGGGAATAAACAGCTGATAATTCTCATTCACTGTTGGTGTTACACCAGCAGTGAAGGAAGTGTTAAAGGATTTGGGAATGGAGAAGGATAGAAGAATCTGGGGCAGATGAGGGTAGGTTTCATAATCTGTGTTGGTTACATTCTTGAAAGAGAAACACTGATGACTAGAATTAGTGAAAATGTGTGTGTACATCGGCGCTCTTACTACATATACTTATCTGACATTTTCACCACACGACATTTCAACATATTACTAGCAAAGAAATGTCTATTAAAATATGTATTAGCGTGGCCGTGCGGGATTTAGCACAAGCAGGTATGAGGCTCATTCGAGGAATTATGTCGTATGTACTGCAAGGTGAGGCAGGCGTTTGTTGTTTTCACTCAGATTTCGAGGTCAAGAGGTCTTGGCGAAGGTAAAGCCATGCCAGCTGACTAGAATGTCTCTTGTTTTATATATCGTCGATTCTTGTCTTGTCACAATCTGGAATAACCTGGAATTCCATCTAAGTAGCTGGTGATGGACTTCCATTGTTCGCCTCCCAAGATATGCTGAATACTGTCACAGCTCGTGGGTGTCTTCGAATCTGGAGTGTCTGTTAAGGGGGACATCTCAGGCACACGGTGACGACCTCCCTCATCCTGCACAAGATATACACATTAATTCTTTATTTCAATATGTACACATATCATTAAAAAAAATAGATTATGGGGAGCCTCGGGGCGCCAGCGGCCAGCGGCCTAAGAAGCGCTAAACCTACAAGGGTCATACAGCGCATCGGGAGAGGGAAGAATACAGTGGTTCTGAGGAGCAAGAGGGAGAAGTAACATAGCAACGGGGCAGGGGAAAGTACAGGGGGTATAGGGTAGCAAGAGGGAGAGGTAGAAAGGGCTACGAGGAATGCTAGAGGCAGCATCATCATCAAAGTTTGTGAAGTAAATCAGTTGCTGTCAAAAAGTCAACGAGAGAGTCTGAGTCAAAGGAGGGTGTCAGCAAGGAAGTAGAAAATGTGGGTTACTGTAGAGCAGTGTTGTGGAGGACACCTGGAGCCACCATGGCCGTGCTTCACCGATAACTGTGAGTACTGTGCACAAACTGGTGAATTTACCTGGGAAAACATAACTGTCATCAGTAGAATATGACAAAAGAAGCTCAGAATCACTAGGAGCATACATCGAAGTGGCTAGCTAGCTTATTGTTCACTTGTCCTGCGAGGTGTAGAGCAAGAGGACAGGATTATATAGGTTACAGTGAGTCTGTCAAACCCCACTGGACACAGTTAACATCTTTAAGATATTACGGTTATTTCGTATATTACAGTGTCATCACACAGCTGATCCACCCAATGTAATACGTAGATATAATCTCAAGAAAATAACGTATATTACTACTGAATTGCAGTGGTACTTTAGTACTTTACACTCTCATTAAGTAATAAATAGCTCATTCAAGTATCCGGTGCAAAACGTGGATGCAACTTTAAAAAAATTATTTGCCATTTATTATATAATGTTTGAAAGTCTTTAAAAAGATGGATGTTAGGTTACTAACCCTCCGCGTTAATAATCCCAAAAAAGTGTTTAGATAAGTGGTACTTTAGTAATTTAACTACAAGGGTTTAAAAATTACATATTAGCAAACACTAGAAAGTGTTTCTTCCCGGGACCTTGATAACTTTCGAAACGCTTTCTAATAAGTATCCTAGTGCTTGTTTAATTGTCTGTAAACCACTGGACGGTAGTCATTATTAAGGTTTATATCAATTAAACTGTACTTGTTTTGTACATTAAGAGAGCTGACCTGTGTAGCAATGTTTGACCACTAGTTCTTAACATGGCAGAATCGCATCCAGTGTTATAACCACATACACCTGCTATTATCTAGTATTAACAGAGCTATTATTTATGGTGTGTGGCTCAAGGAAGGGAGGGGAGACACTTTTTTTCACTCTCACGGACCCATCATCTCAAAGTTCCGCAGCCAAAACGTTTTTAATGTCCCAGTGTTGGATTAGTGTCTTTTTTAAACCGCTTCTCACCCTTACCTATAATAATGATAATAAAAATAAAATAATAATAAGGATGCATATAACTTATACGCCACTAAAATAGGGATTAAAGTAAACTCACAGAAAATATATATAATGTGATGCATAGGTGTATATATTTTTGTTGAAGAGCTATAACCTTAGCTTATTTCAAAGTCCAGGCCTATGTAAGGTATACTACTACCTCCCTAGGATGCGTCACACAACAGTCTACTAACACCCAGGTGTTTGTGTATATATCGCCTGCTCTTGCGAATTCCTTGCATATATATATATATATATATATATATATATATATATATATATATATATATATATATATATATA